TGTAATATGATGAGATAAAACCACAGTCCACGAACTTAATAACTGCACCTGGTATAAACCGCCATGTGATCATCTGTCTATGTCTCTATCTATCTATGGCCCTACAGCTCTTTGTCGGACCTTGCCCGCCTTTTCCATTTCTTTATATTTTTACACAGTCGGTACGAATCCTTAGACGGGGGTCAGCTCCTCGCAAGGCCGCTACCTGCACACAGGACAGCACAAACATAAAATAAGAGCACACAGACATCCATGACTCAAGTTGGATTCGAACCAATGATAGCAGTGTTTGAACGGACGAAGACGCTTCATAACTTAGACCGCACCGCCACTGTCATCAGCATGAGATCATTTTCTTATTGAAATTTTTCTTCCATTTCATGTGTTTTATAGACCGAACATAAGAGTTAATTTCCTCTTCTCCAAGAATTTTCTGTGCACTTTTGTACATTGCGTCATCATATTTGTTGCAACTTCAGACAACACAAAGGACTCAAACAGCATGCATGTTTTCAGTGGATTTCGAACCCATACTCTCAGAAAGTAAGATATTCAGTATCATCCGTGGCTTGAACTACGAGGTCACCGAGATTAGCAGAAATCTGTAGTACCTGTGTCTGGAATTGTTAGTTGACCCCCTTGCTACAACAAGCGTGGAAAATATTCTTATCTCCCAAACGCCTTCCTACAGTTTTGTGTAGGTTGTTCCGGTTGTGTTGATTTACACTGTATCGATTTATTGCGGAAAGAAGTTCGCTGTTACAGAGGTAATCACTCAACTAATGTTTCAGCCCATAGAATCCAAATGTATAATTCTTTATTTTATCGTCACGTGTTTAGTGACTACGACTCGTGTTTGAATTAGTGAATTGGTTTATTGATTTAAGAAACAGTCTTTTGGGATTTGGCGCCATATATATGTGGTGTTAATCAACGTTTCGGAGGAACGTATCGCCTCCATCTTCAGGGTATAAGGAAAATTATAAGAAATCCGCAGGCGAAGAGACCTGAAGATGGAGGCGATACGTTCCTCCGAAACGTCGGTTAACACCACATATACACGGTGCCAAATCCCAGAAAACTGCTTTCTTCATAGTCACCGCCGTGAAAACCTCAAATCTTACATGGTTTATTGGTTCTTCACTAGTTGTAACTACAATTAGTTCTTACACACTCAAGATTACTGTAACTACAGCATATGTAATGTCACACACTAAGTCTTCTAATTCTTCTTCTGGCCACACTGCTGTTCCCTTGGAACTTCGGAACTCAAGTGAACTCAGAGTCAGAGAGTCAGACTTACTTTACGACTGGTGGTATACCGCCAATCAGTTCGTCTTGGCGTCATATCCCTTGAGTCCCATGACCAGAGATCTTTTTCCAACTAAACTCTTTCGGTAATAGTCCTTATGTAACTTCCTCTCTGATGAGAAGACGTGTTTGTCTCTTATGAATACTCTTGACCTTTCGTTAAATGTATTGTCACGTGTTGGGTATGTCACGCGACAACTAACTTCACGCCTTATGTGATATAGCGTATTTATTGCACATTCGCTCTTACAATGACAATTTACAATCTCACAATTATTGCCATCGGCAGTATCACAAATACTAGACTGCAATTAACTGGTACTCTTTCTCTAGTAACTGGCTCAATACTCACTAATCACTCACTACTCACTCACTAGCTCACTAACTGAATAGTGTTCGCTGCTCCTTATTTAGTCTCAGCACGGACAACACAGAAAACAGTTACGTGATAGGTACCACTGTTGCCTGACGCCGTGTTTACAGGGGTTGCTGGGCAACGCTGTCGAGAGTTGTTTACTGCTGCATAGCAACCGCGGCATCCCTTGGTAACGTCACCGCGAGAGGAGGCGGAGTGTTGACTGGCCTGTTACCGTAGCAGCGGCAACGCTCCGAAGGTGTTAACCTCACAGTAGGCAGCGCTTCCACGTCACAGTATATTTCGCACACATAACATGTTCTTGAAAATTCTTCCTTTTCCACTACACACAAATCTTCTTCCAGTACAGGCTTTACAGAGCAGATCATGCCTAACTTACATAATGTGAATTCCAATATCCTCGCGGCACGGACCACCCACAGAAAACGCAGTTCTGTTGAGTAGCGCAGATCCAACAGGAAAGAAGTCACGTGATAACTATCTCGCCAGTCCATTGGCGTGCTGACTGTTGCCTAACAACGAGCTCTAAATATTCGTCCTATTGTTGCGTTCTTGTATCGCTGGGTGTTTATCGAGCCGTTGCCTGGCAGTGCGTTGACATGTCACATTATTAAATAAAACACGTCGAACATTAAAAATAACAGTTTGGGCACGAAATGTCTTCTCCCACTCAAACACTGGGATCGTGGGTTCGAATCCCACTCGGGGCATGTATGTCTGCGTTTATTCTGTGTCTCTGTTGTCCTGTGTAAGTAGCGACCTTGGAAGGGCTGATCACCCGTGCAAGGAATCTTACAAACAATCTACAGGGGATGGACAAAAATATGGAAACACCCAACGAGAAACACATTACCGTGACTAATATGGTGTAGGACAACCTCAGGTTTGCAGAACTGCCTGAAGTCTCCTTGGAATGGATAAATAGAGGTCCTGTATGATTTGAAAGGGAATCTTGTACCATTCTTCCTGCAAAACATTGGCAAGTTCTGTTAACAATGATGGATGTGGATAGCACGCACACAGATTGCTCTCCAAAACAGACCATAAAGGCTCAATAATATTGATATCTGGCGATTGTGGAGGCCATGGCAGACGTGACATCTTCGTGCTCAGAAAGCCAGTCCTGGACGATGTGAGCTGTGTGAACACGGGCACTGTCATCTTGGGTAAATGGCATCACCATTGGGGAACAAAGTTTGCACCATGGGATGGACCTGGTCACCCAGAATGGTCACATAGTCGTTGCCAGTGACGTGAACTTGCAGTGGTCACATAGTCGTTGCCAGTGACGTGACCTTGCAGTGTAATGATGGGTCTGACAGAATACCACGATATGTCTGCCCATACCGTGATTGAACCCCAGCCATGTTTCACTCTTGGCAGAAAAATCTGGATCGTAAGCTTGGGATGGCGTTCTCCAGACGTAAACTCGGCCAGAAGTCGGAAACAGTGTGAAGGTGGACCCATCCGACCAAATGACCATCTTCCATTACTTCATAGTCCAGATTTTATGACTTCGGCATCACACACTCTTCTTACTGTTTTCGTGCTGACAGGGTTTGTGAGAGTGACATTCAGTTCAGCAGTCACTTTTGCAGCTGTAGTCTTCTTATTTTTCGTCACAATCCTACGCAATGTTCATCTGTCTCGGTCACTCAACACACATTTCCGTCCACGCTGGTGTTTATCGGATGCGGTTTTTCCAGTCCTCCTGTTTGAGGTCATAATCGTGGATAATGTGCCTCGCTAAACACCAAAAACCTCGGCTACCTTGGTTACAGAAGCACCCATCATATGGGTCCCAACAATTTGCCCGCGTTCGAATTCTGTTAGCTCTGACTTGCACTAAAAATTGCGCAGAACACTGTCTCGACAACAAATGAAGCTTGCAACATATTGCAGAGGTTGTACAGGTAGTGGTATTGGGCAGATAAGACAGCGTCACCTACAAACGTCGCTAAAATATACACTTAAATTCAGGCATGCATTTCACAAGGTGTTTCCATATTTTTGTCCATCCCCTGTATAAGATAGGACTTTTCATAACCACAGCTGTGAGAATCTCAAATCTACAATCTATTGAAATCTTCATAATTAATTGTGATTGGGAACAGGTCAGAGCCTGTAAAATTAGAAGACGAAGAAGAAGAAAAAGAAGAAGAAGAAGAAGAAAATTATAATGTGGCCTATATTTTGTGTTGGGTACCAAGTTTCTTATGTAGGATTTCTCCTTTGTGCCAAACCATTTTCGAGAAAAAGAAACATGAAGCTCCATTTAAGCTTTACGTGAAGAAGTTATATTGGACAGATACAAAGATGAAACCCGCCCAACTCGCAGTATGTGCCCCTTGTACCAAATCTGAATGCAGTTCGTCAAGTAGTTTCACAGATAAAACTTGCGGACGCAAAGGCACGACCTACCTATTATGCAGGACGCATAAGAAAGGATGTTTGGCCCATGAAACAATAGGCAGTCCCCAGTAGCCAGATGACAGGTGGTGACTGCTCCGTACGCTACACGACAGATCCACATATCGTCATAACTTGCCACACCCTGCGTGCCCAGTCCAACGGAACCAAGCGCCGTATACACCGTGTCGTTTTCCCTTATTCCTCACTTGAAAAATATAACTGAAACCAAACGGTTGATTGGGAACCCACTCTTCGGATGCAGGCGCAGAGGAGAACATAAAATTACTGTGGGTTTCAAAAGAACTAGGATTAAACTGACCCCGTGCCAAGGAATGTTTTCTAAATTTTGAGGTTTTCACGCCGATGACTATGAAGAAAGCAGTCTTCTGGGATGTGACACCGTGCAGATATTGTGCTAACCGACGTTTCGGAGGAACGTATCGCCTCAGAGTCTATTATCACCTTCTCACACTGGTTCTTCGGTTACGGATTTTCTTCTTTTTTCCTACCCTGAAGATAGAGATGATATGTTCCCCGAAACGTCAGTTAACATAATATTTATACAGTTCCATATCCCAGAAGACTGCTTTCTTCAAGGAATGTTTTGAGCTGACAAGTAGCCTAAATTGTTGCTCCAGGAATACTTCATGGTTTTGTGGGATATCGGTGTATGAAGAGACAACCACTTCTTGAACTGTTCTGTAATGTTTATTATAGTTGTACATTATACACAAACAAACTTGGTTTGGAGAATTGAAGACTAATTGTATAGTACCAACAATACTACTGCTTCTTTTGGATTAATGACACGTAAGGTCAAGCATGCTGCCATCACTACCCTTAATCACATGCAGTACTACCTATGTTAAATGCTTACTATCTTGACATATATTATCTCATGTTACTATGGTAAGGTGTGGTCTATTTCCATTTTTCTTTCTGTTGAAATTAGTGGACGAAGTAACTTGCTGGAATAGAAACAATACACCATAAGTTATGACCTTCTTCTGGACAACGGTCACTTGTTCTTACAGTTTACAGCAGGCTGGCTTGGCTTCTGTGATGTTTCTCAGCATAAATTGGAGGCGTTATATTTTTCTATAGCCGGTTTATTCTCCTTGTTTACCACGTGAAACCGATGTTTGCGACTACAAAGTCCCCATATAACCGCCACATTTTCAGTAAGTATATTGAAGGGGATAATACACACTGCTCCACATACACATAAGATGACTCCAAGCATACCAAATCGATGACGAGAGAATGATTTCAAGACTCCGAAAACATACATGTAGATAGTGACAGCACCAATGAATACACAGACAAAGTCCATGAGAAGTGGACAAGGTATGGGGCAGAGTGCAGCCAAGACAATATTCGACGTAGAAAAGGGCATGGTGACCCAGGAGTAGCAGGAGATGCCGAGGAGAAACTTGTATCGGAGAGGAATAGCTTTTGAGTGCACGACGAGCAGGATGCCCTGTAACCATCGCTTCCTTTGCTGAACAAAGTCACGAAGAGAGAAAGGTGACTTCTCCCACATCTCGCCCTCCACGAAGTTGAACGAGTAACCCTCTGTAAAGGCCTTCATCGCAAAGTAACAGTCCTCTGCAATCGATCCGTCCATCCCATTGTCAAAAGACACTCGTCTTTCAGCTCCCACCTGAGCCACAATATAGGATCCTTTCCAGCCGAACAGTGGTTTGTGGAACACGGAGAACTGAAATCGTAGCTTTCCCATGTCATCAGCCACTCGGAAACTATCAGCAAGTGTTGTAATCCAGTTCACTACGTCTTCATTGGCGTAAGTGATGAGACCTTGTCCAAAATGATGTTTTCCATCCAATACAAAATTGATGATTCCCGTAACAGAGTTTTCAGTCAGTAACGTCTCCTCATCAAGATGCACAATCCAGTCGGTGTCAGCTAGAATGTTCACACCATCCTCCAAAGAATATTGAAGTGCTCGGGCCTTAAACAGAGCCCCACTCTTTGGTCTGTAAGATGGAGGAACCACAACCTCTCTAACACTCTCATGCGCTATCAAACCAAGAGCTTTATCCGTCACAACCTCAATCAGAAAGTTTTCTAGACCAGCCTCAGTGCAACAGGTCATGTTACGAGCAACATTTACACGAACTAATTCAGGATAATCTCCCCTTGTCACTATTCGGATGCAGATGAATGGAGGTAATATTGTTGAATCCTTAAGTGTCACTTTATCAGGGAAAGTATTATAAAGTATGAGTCCTGCGAAGTTGAAAAGCACCTGCGGTAGTGGAAGGAAGGTCAGGATACGTAACAAGTACAGCACGAAAGTTCCAACATATCCATACCTATCCCATGGATCAAATTCTTCTAGTCTGTTGTTCCCTAATCGAAGAGCAAAAGTGAAAATTTCAGCTACAGCAATTACTGTGAAAAGTAAAATGCAGTGTAGAATGTGCTTCGTCCTTCCAGTCATCGTCATTTGCAGAATTTGAATTCTATATCCACAAAGTCCCACTCACACAAAGTTCATAAATCCGGTAGACGTAGACACTGTCGAAGTTGACGTCGCCAGACGACGAGTAGGTGAACCGAAGGATGTGCCGGAATTCGTCAAAGAGCACCCCGTCGTAGAAGCAGGATAAGGTCAAGCCTGCCTCTATGCTGAACGAGACAGGCCGCGGGCTGAGCTAACGGAACAACCGCCTACTGGACGGAATCACTTCGGAGCCCCCGGTGTTGCATGTCGATGTATGAAGATATAAAAATTTGTTGAACTGCTCTATTAGTATTATTATTGTAGTTGCACAATATACACAGACGAACTTGAGTTTTTATATAACCTAGAGTCGCGCCTATAGAAAACGTATCACTGTCCTTATTGTTGCAGGCATTGCCTAGCACCGTCCGTTTACTCAGCCGTTGCTAAGCAGCGAATGGTTTCTAGCTTGCGATTGGTTAGCACTCGATTCACTGTGGGTGCTTCCCATAATCACATATTGTTGTAGAACTTACATACTCCCCGTTGCTAAGCCATGGCACCTGAGCTGTCACTGTAACGTTTGCTTGAATGTGGGTAGTTTCCACAGTTTGTTTCAGATGAGATTTACTTTGCCACTCACGGTAGCCAAACGGTGTATGGCACGTACTGTCTTCGCTCGCTCGGAAGCCGGGATCTTGGGCTGGAATCCCACACAAGGCATGGATGCTTGGTGCGTGTATGCGTTTATCTGTGTTTGTGTTATCCTGTGTTTACGTAGAAGCCTTGCGACGGCTGACCACCCATCGAAGTAGTCCTACCGTCTGTAAAAATGATCGTGAAACTGAAAAATCATCTCTATGCTCCGAAGTGGGAGCAAGAGGAGAGAGAGAATCCTCTATGAAAATCTCAGGAGTAATAGACTACCTTCATATGATAAATATTAATTGCGACTATGTTTTAAATTCTGACGAAGGTGGATATCTTCTTGAACGTAGTCTGGAATGTCTACGACTTTGAAGGATATCCCTATTATCTGTATTGAAAAGTGTGAGACAGGGGATAATTGCAGCTGATCAAGAGAGAGATGCCCTCAAAAGATGTGGTGTATTATACTTTAAGGAACGATCGTTGCATTTGTCTTAAGTGACCTAGGACAACCACGGCATCCTAGATAACATGGCCTCTCTACGGCCGAAATTAGAACCAGATGCTTTCCCCAGGCGAAAGAGACGCTTTGGCGATCCTCTCTGGAGATATTTGTGTGAAGCAGGCTTGGACAGGGAGACTTGTCCGATGTAATCTGGCTAACAACCAACATGTAAATGTAAGAAAAGTATAACGACATAGTGAGTCATGCATCGACAGTGAGCTGTATCTAGCTTAATTAATGAATATTCACAATCGTTCTTTCCGATTCTGTTTTTGCAACCTTTGGCCAGAAATATTCCCACCATATAATATACGATATGTTATTTGTCTTCATTATTGCTTTGTTTAATATCACAACACAGACCTTACATGACAGTTATGCTGGTGGATAGTTCACTCTTTCCTGCAGGTAGTTAGTTGACATTAACTTCAGTGTTAGTGACAACAGTTTGGATCGAACCCGAGAATCTGTAACGAGTACCTTGTGTCGTAAAATAAGACCTAGAGGCGTATTCTTGCGACGTCACTTTATTATTCAAAGACGTAACTACAGTTCAACATAGTTATAACACAAAATGTTGAACAAGTCGTTTCACAGTCGGTCCTTTCGCGTTAACACCTCTCAGTAGAATGTCCAAGAGCAGAGCAGAGCCCAGCAGAAACTTACTGCCGGCAATCAGCCAGCACTAAGCTTCTGCTCTGCTCTGATCTGCTCTTGGACATGAATTTTCGTTCCCTGGTAACGAACCTTTATTAAACGAGACGTTCCCAGACAAAGAACTTTCACTGAAGAAGACGTTCCCAGGCAACGAACCTTAATTGAAGGTTATCCAGTTTCTGGGATTACATCGTTACTGCCTGCAAATAACACGCAACAACTAGTAGAGCAAACGGTATGCAGTCATAGATCATAAGTCAACTAAGTAAGTCGCACTTCGTGCTGACTACTAAAACGCCAAGCATGTGAACCCAGAAGTTTTCGTAATATGAGATTGCTGACTTTACCTCATTCTAAGCTATAAAATTTGTTTCATCAAAATTAGGTGCGTGAAATGAGGGAATGTGAACAATTTGTATAAACGTTTTTGCTTAAAAAAATAACGAGAAAAGACCGCTTGAAAACCAAGATTTAGACGAGAGGATAACTTTGAAATGTATCTCATTTATATAAGGCATAACTGTATGGACTGAATTCAAATGGCTCAGTATAATTTCCAGTGACGGGCTCTCGTGAACACAGTAACTGGTCTTAAGGTTCCATAGAAGACGGGTAATTACCTTTCTTTACTTATTTATTATTATTATTGCTAGTATTGCTAGACTTTATGTTGTGTTTGTCCATAATATAATTACTTGTATATACACTGTGCTCTGTCTGTAATTGGCCTTGTGGCTGTTGTCTCGGCATATAAATATTAAATACTTGGATTGAATTTTCCTTACGGGGTGAGACTGAGTCCACTTGGAACAGCGGCCACTGTCTGGCCTATTGTACCACCCCCAGACGATAGAATATAGATGATGATGATGATGATGATTGTGGAGCAATTGGTGGGATGCGATTTGGCAGGAGAAATCTAAATACTCTGATAGAACCTGCCCAAGTGCCACTTTGTACACCACAAATTCCACATAACCTGACCCGGGCTTGAACCAAAGCTGCGGCGATGGGACGCTGACGGCTAACCTTCTGAGCTATGGCTCGGCGTTTGTCTCTCTTTAAGAAGGAAATCTCTTTATGGAGTTCAACATTTATTTTATTTTTAGCTGTCTTTATATATAATGAAATTGATTTATTTCCAAGTGTATTTAATTTCATAAGATTTGAGGTTTTCAAGGCGGTGACTAAGAATAATGTCGTCATCTTGACTGTGGCGCTGTGTCGATATTGTGTAAACCGACGTTTCGGAGGAACGTATCGCCTCCATCTTCAAGGTATAAAAAATCCTCCAGCGAGGAACCAGCGTGAGCAGGTTTGATTTACATCATGTTTAGCGGAGATTAATCTCCTGATATAAGAATTTTGGTAGTGAATGTATGTTTTGTATAAATGTTTCTCCTGCTGTAACAAACTGGATTCCACTTCACTATTTCGGATGGTCGTGTTATTGCTGATAGCAGAGAAAATAGTTATTAGAGGTTTCTATAGTCTATAGTGATATGATGCGCATTCAAAATTTCATGAAAATCCTTCAGTCGGGTCCAGATATTATTTGCCATGATGTTTCTTTAAGCCGGAAAGTAGACTAAAAAGTAGTAATGAAAAATGACGCATAGGCGGGTTCCACATCGGACTGCTTGAAGGTCGGTGTTGAACAATATGCCAATACATCTCCCACCTTCAGGAATCCCGCCGCGGCATTGAGTATTGGAATCTACTGTTCATAGTGATTGATAGCGCTTTAAGCTGGAATGCGGTTCTTATGTCCAACGCCATTTAGAATAGCTACCCACCGTGACAGCCAAACAACTAGCTGCTTCGTAATTCCTATACGAAACTCATGTGGGCTCCTTTGGAGTTTAATAACATTCCAGCATCTTAATATTCACATCAAACATTTAGCTATTAATTAGCTCCCTGTTTGAGTTGTTGCTTATTTTCGACCGCCTCTGTGGTCTAGTGGTCACAGTTCCTAGCTACAGATCCAGAGGTTCCAGGTTCTATTCCAGGCGCTACCCAATTTTCTGAGAAGTAGATGGTCTAGAACGGGGTCCATTCAGCCCCGTGAGGATAATTGAGGAGCTACTTGAATATAAAAATAGCGGCTCCGATCAAGAAAACCGAGATTAACGGCCGTGGGGATCCGTTGCGCTGACCACGCGACACCCTCTATCCGCTAAAGTTGGCACTAACTTCGCCGACAAGCGGCGGTCTCTGGGTCGATTTAGTTCTCTTGCGAAATAAAGGCCACGGAGGTTTTCTTTAGTTATTGAACGATGCTTTATAGACTCCTTGTGGTGTGGGGAAATTTCTTTTATAATGGTAGTGGATTGTTAACGCTTGCCTCCAGTACGCTTGCTCGTAGATATGCCAGTAATTTTGTAGCTTCACTTCCACAGGTTAAAGTAAACCGTATATATTTCTTAGGTGGGTATGATTATTACGTAGTTGCTACATCAACGAACTGATCACGCGATGTTCTTTTTGAAAATTACCGTCACACATTTTGCTAGAAAATCTCACAGGGCCCTAATAAACTACCTGGCTGCGAGGAGGAATAGCGGGGGTTGTTTCCCGAGAGGGGCAATGATCTTTCTCTAAGTCATCTCATCTTTACCAACTTTGGAACCCAAATGGGGTACCGTGGGAAGATATAGCGATATTAGGAGAGATGCGGGGTGGATTGCAAGCAGTAGTATTGGGCACTTAAACAACTCGTAACTACGTACATTTTACAAATCACTATCAAACGCAGACTAGTGTTCTCAGTAACGGTCTTTACTAGCTGCTGCTTTGTAGCGGCTTCCAACGGCGGATGTTCCCCTTCCTCTGGATTCCCGAACTATAATAAATATTATATGAAGACACAACCACTTGTTGAACTATCTTCTTATACACGTATAACCTAGAGTCAGACTTATAGAAAACATGTCACTCTCCGTACTGTTGCAGGCTTTGCCTAGCACCAGCTGTTCACTGAGCCGTTGCTAGGCAACGAATTGTTTCTAGCTTGCGATTGGCTAGCACTCGATCCACTGTGGGTGCTTCCTATGGTCACATATTGTTGTAGACTTTGTATAGCAACGACTGTTTACTCGCCGTTGCTAAGCAACTTACAATGACACTGACCTGATTGTGCATCTTCATGAGGAGACGTTATTGACTGAAAATTCTGTTACGGGAATCATAA